AGCAACATTATAAAAATCATAAAAATGTGGAGATCTTATGCTGACAAATCACCCCACTCCCTCTGCCAAGGACAGGCCAACTACACCCAAATCACCTCTAAAAGAAGGCTATTTAATCTTTTCTAGAGCATTTTCAGCAACAGATATCCCATTACCTCCCTCAGACGTTCAACCCTGTTTTTATCTATCCACAGAGCTGGAAACCTTCTTTTGTGCTATTTAGGACCATTATTTCTTGTCCTACCTGGAGAGAACAGTTCATTACATTCCTCTCTGCAGCGATCCTTACCATACTTAAAGCCCTGTTATTATGCCTCCCCATCTCTGCTACAGTCTAAACAATTTTAGTCCTTCTGGTCCTTCCTCAGAAGCCATTACTGCAACCTTCCTAAAATACTCTTCGATTGGTCCAAATCTGTTTGAAGCACAGAACAAAAAGCAGAGACAGTGCATCATCTGAGGCCTAACACTGAGTGCTGCAGAAGAAATTCGCATCTTACACACAACAACAGCCCAGCTCCTACATCCCAGAGTGACTCCCAGTGTCCGTTTTTAAAGCTGACGTGACTCATTTGTGTTCATTTTGTGATACAGCCACTTATTTGCAGATCTGTTGCCCTACCAGTTGTCTCTCATTTTAAGTTTATTGTTGCTACCCAAACATATTATTTTACATTTCCCCTTGCTGAAATGTAACCCATGTATTTCCTTCAGATCATCTGTCCAATTTGTTGCAATCATTTCACACTGCAGTGCCTGTATTCCCCCCACCCTGAGCTCTACTGCAGCAATTAGTAAATCTCTGTTCTATCATCCAAGTCACAAACTGAAAGACTAAACGAGATTAAACTCACAAAATACACCTGCTGAATCCCACATGCTGCACTCCTTCAATTTGAAACATCCTTAGAGCATTTAATTAACAAGTACAAACCAGCATGGCAAATCTTCTCTGACAGTTTCTATTTTTGGTGTTTCTGAATTCTTTATCTGTGGAGATAAAACTTCCAACTTCAGCACTACTGTGCTTTGTCACTCTGCTGGAAAACCTTCATACACAAACACACAGGGGAGGCCTCCAGCACTCTCTTCCCTCTTTAAAGCTTTAGTGGCAAAGTAACCTAGTTGCACAGCTCTAACAGTTCCGAATTTGGGCCACTTTCCTGTTTTTCTTGCCTGTAACAGAGATACCACAATGACACATTCACTCCAAGAAATCTCTAGCTCTGAAAAATTCAGATCAGATATATAAGTACATACATGAACCAATAATAAAAAAAAGGCAAAACCAAAAAGCAGGATGTTGTCATTTATGCATCAACATGAAAACTGCCAAGAACACACAGTTGCTTTTGGACGTTTATATTTTCTTATTAAGTATTAAACTCAAATCACTGCACTTTAAGGACAGAATCAGACATGTCTCAGGACAGAGCTGGAAAGGACAAAATCCCTCTGCTCTGCTACCAGCCAGGATTCTCCGAAGGGGAAGCTGTTGCTCTGATCCTTCTTCCAGCAGTTTGTCTGGCACATATGCACCCAATTAATCAAAGCAAATATTTGTGTTTAAATACTGTTAACTGAACTACTAAAAACACCTTTAAAATCTTGGACAATTAAATTTTCTATCTTGCCAACAATCATATTCTATGTCTTGTGACAAAGTTTGATACACAGAAACAGAAAGGGAGAGCAGCTAATGGAACAGAGAAAACATTGTTACAAGGGGAGTCAGCTGTTTTCAGAAGTAACAAGATAGAAAGCTTTCAGCTTAATGCAAAGCAAAAATATTTAAATAGAGTATCAAGTAAAACTTTAACCAAGGGCCCACGAGCTCTGAAACAAGCAACCAAAAAGGAACTTGGTCATCACAGAGAATGGTCCTGCTGCATTTCCAAAGGGCCAAGGATTGGAACAGCTGATCTTCTGGCACATCCACATTTAGCTGAATTCGTTCTAAGCATTAAAAGCTTAAAGTAACTTTCAAGAACAGTTGCTGTAATTTAAGCTTTTGGTCTGAAGATATAAAAACCTCCTCTATGACAACCATCTGTATAAGCAGAAGTGATTAAATACAAGCCTGTAACTAATACACAGGACTGAGACACAAACTGTAGAAGTTATCAGCCTATTATGCTACAAAACCAAAACTGAGCATTTTGCTTTGACTATGAAAATGCACATAACCTTTTGAAAACCCTTTTGTTTAAAGAACAACGTCCAAGAAGAGAGTGCTACTAAATGCTTACCTCTGCATTTCCTAATAGTATTTCAACAGGTTTTCACAAAACTAAAATAAATGCTTAGAAAAGTTTTGCTACAGCAAAGGCAGTTTTCGAAGCACAAGCCACGTTTATGGTATTGTCATAGCTAGAACAATATTAGACTGAAGTGTAATGTTTATCAGAAGCAAGTTTTTATAAAAAGCAGCCTGATTTCCAGCACAGTACACTTAATTTGGAAACTAAGAACTTTCTCACTCTAGAAGTGCGAAAGTTTCCCCTTTCTGTACCTTCTCTCCCACCTACAGAGGTGGAAGATTTTTTTCTCGTTCCAAGATTTTAAGGACAACTTCTACAAATATCTGCCTGGAATCATCCAAGTATATTGAAACCAACCCCAAAGAAAGGGAACAATAGCTCTCCCAGTACTGCAGTTCTAGAATTTATGTCAGTACAACGTAAAGGTATGGATACAGGCAAATGCTAAATACCTGCAAAGCAAGCTGCCTCATGCAAATCTGGTTCTTTATGACTGAAGAAACCTGTAGCAACAGTTCCTGCAAAATGCAAAGACTTCCATTTTGGGGAAAGCCCTAAGAAAGCAACCACTGACAGAGAAGCTGCAAAGACGTGAAAGAGAGCTTTTCAAATGTGAAAGACTTATTTTTAAAAAATGGTAATAAACATCTGGAAATGGGACAGACTGCCAAGACTTCTATTCCAACTCACTGAGTTCATTTTGAAACATGAGGAAACTGTTCCCTATTTCACTTACCCAACACAGTGGCAGAAGAGCAAAGTGGAAGCCTTATCACCTTGCAGGCACCAGGCAACTATCAGTGACAAGATGCCAATCTACTCCCAGTACCCAGAACAGTCTGTAAGAACCAGAACCCAACATTTCCTCCAGTCTCTTGGAAATACTGGGAGAGGGAAGTCTCCATTCTGTATGTGGCAGACAGCAAAGGGGATCCGACATCACACTACATTGGAAATGCCAACAAATATCAAGGCAGCCAGGCATTGTTTAGCAATAGAACAGAAGGCCATAGGATATCCTCCTAAACTGTGTGAAACAGATCTAATCATTTTTGCATACTAAATGTGTAATACTGAGTTCAAAAATCCCATTTACTAGTTCTCATTTTCCAGACATAAAACACAATTAAACTTCATCACTAAATTGCTCAGTAAATAAGCTACTTAATACTGCCTCTCTCTTATTAATTAGATATTTGTAGTATACAATGCAAAGAAAAATCATTTTAGTTTACAGTGGTACAACTGAGAACTGCAGGAAGTTCTATTACTGGACAACAAAACAAATAGACACATCAGAATGTCAGTTTCAGGTCGTAACTGCTGCTCCTTATTGACACACACAGCCACACTGCGAAACAATCCTTCACAAAAAGTCTTTACTGTAATTCCAGGACATACCACATTTCTATGAAATAAGCATAAAACTTGCACCCAAAGTTGCTCACATTCTGAATGACTCCTCAGAAGCCACATGCTGAAGGAAATTGCTAACTAAACCTTTCTACAGCAAGGGAGTTTCATGAATGGCTTCAACTCAGTGAAAATTTCACCCAACTAACACTAATATTTTACTGCATACACTTTTCCTTAAAAGAACTGAGTTTGTCTCCTGCAGACCACTTTTTCTTCAACCAATGTTTTTCCAGTCCTTGCATCAGCAAGGGGGAAAGTGTTGTAATTAAATGTCAGCGGAAATACATGGAAAAGACACATCTTTAGGGGTTGTAAAAGTCAGTATTTAATACAAAACATGGAGTATGCTTAAAGTTTTGATCTCTATATGTTATTAGTTTAGTAGTAATGGCAATATCAATGGAAAACACACAAATACACCTAGAACCACCAAGTAGCTATTATAGTTCATCTAATAACAACTGCTTACTTACTGCTGAGTAACAGTTGGAAATCTGAATGCCCAGAACACCTGGGTATTCAGATTTCTTTTATGAAAGTTTTGTTATCATTATGCATCAGCCTCAGTCTAAATTAGTAACAGGAAGAGTTTAACCCCAAGACCACAGCCCCTGTCAGCACTCTGGGATAATCAGGGAGAGAACACAGGATACCATAAAGATGACACAGAACCTTAAGTTCTCCCATTGCTATCAAGGCTGGGTGACAAAGGGGAGCTGGGACAGCTGGGACACACGGGCACTATGGGAATCATTGCTCTAAGTGGAACAGGAGACTGAGAAGTATTCCACAAGCTTGGGACATACAGAGATCAGATCTGCGATGTCTTTTGTGCTCTGCGACAGGAGCTGCGGGCATCCAACAGCCAGGGCTGAGCACAGCAGCAGCACAACCTGCCGGCACCGAGCGCGCGTCCGAGCCACGAGAGGCCGGGGGACCCACGGCCGCAAACAGCCTCGGTCAGGAAGGACCGAGGGGCGAAGCAGAGCCGGAGGTTCCTCGGCCCGTCTTGGCCAGCCGGTAGCCCGGGCCCCGATCCCAGGTGCTGCCGCACGTTCGGCCCAGAGGCGGCCGGAGGGCTCCACCGGCGGGGTGGGGCGGGCGCCGCTCTGAGGAGCGAAGTGCGGCCCGGGCAGCGCGAGGTGAGCTGAGGTGAGGCGGGGCCGGGCCGGGGCGGGGGAAGGGAGGGAGGGCCGGGAGCGGAGCCAGTAGCGCTTCCCCGGGGCGCCCGACCCCGCCCCGCTTCCCGCGCGGTCCGGGGCACGCCGGCGGGGAGGAGGCTGATCGCAGGGTCCCCGCCCCCCGGGCCCCCGTTACCATTACCCAGCACGCCCAGCGCCGCGCCGCCATCCCGCAGCCGGCCCGCTCCCGCAGGAACCGCGCGACCTCGCGAGATTTCCCCTCCCCACTCCCCCACTTTCCCTCCTCCTCTCCCATCCCCGCCCCGCGACCCGGCCCGGCCCCGCGCGCACACGCACGCTCGCTCAGACCCAACATGGCGGCCGCGGCGCCGCGCACGTGTCCCCAGCCGCGCGGTGTCAGACCGGGCGCGCGCACGGACACCCGTGCACGCACGTAACGCCTGGGAAGGGGGGTCACGGGGAGGGACAGAGGGGATGAGGGAGGGGGGAGGCGGAGCCGCCGCGCACGCGCAGGAAGCGCCGCTGCCGGCCAGCTGATTCGAACGGGGCGCGCGAGCCGCCACCTCCTCCCGCACGCGGTGGTCACGTGGGGGCTTCCCCCCGCTCCTTCCCTCCTCCTCCTCCTTCGCCTTCCCCCTCCCCTCGCGGGTTCCGAACTCGGCACCATCCGGGTCCCCCATTCCCCGGGGCTGGGCCCGGGCCCGGGCCCTCACCTGGCGCCCGCTCCTCGGCGCGGCCGGCCCCGCGCAGCCCGGCGCGCGGCTCGCTCCCTCCGTGCTGCCCGCACCAGGCGGCGGCGGCGGCGGCGGCGGCTCCGCACAGCGCCTGCTCCCCTCAGCTCGGCGGCGGCGGCTCCTTCCGCTTCCTTCCCCTCCCCCTCCAGCCACTGCGGCGGGGACCCACTCCCTGCAGCTCCGCCTGCTGGCAGAGGGCGGGGGCGGCGGCACGGCCTGCCCGCTGCCCCCGGGCGGGGGGCTGCGCTGCCGGGTGAGGCCGCGCGCTGGGCGGCCCCGAGAGGTGGCCCGTGCGGGGGGCGGGTGCCCGGCGGGCCGTCCTGAGGGGACGGGGGGGGGGAGGCGCGGCGCCGCTCGCGCGTGCGGCTGAGACAGCAGCGGCCGGGGCGCGGCGGGATCGCTGCGGGCGGCGGGCTGCCGGCTGCGGGCGGGCACCGCTTCCCGGAGCGCGCGGCGGGGGCCGTGCTGCCGGGAGAGCCCTTCCCCTTCTCAGCCCAGAAAGCGCTGCTCCGCGGATCCGCGTCCTGCGCTCTCTGGACCGGTGGCTGAAAATCAACCGTTCACGTCTTTTTTTTTTTGGCATCCTCCTCGTTCCCTGCAAGTCAGCCTGTTTACGTGGTGGGACTTTATTTACTGATGCCTTTTCCCAAAGGGAGAGGATCTATCGTGTAACTCTCGTTCTCCTCTAAACCCACTGTTATGGGGGGGCTTTTTTTTTTCTTTCTTATGGATTTGGTGAGCTTCAGGTAATGAGGATCAAAATATTCCAGTTTTCTATGTAAACGCTTATGAAAGGCAATAAAAACATTATAATAAGAACCTCTAGCAACTCTGCAAATTACTGGAAAATCCTAGACTAAATCAGCTTTCTGTAATAGAAGATTACCTAGAAAAAAATATTTTCAATTTCTTTTAAGGAAAGGCACTGTGGCGGTCAGACTGATTGTGCTTCTGTGCGGAAAGGATCTTTTCCCATTTAACAACACCATAATTGCCCCAATTACTAGTCTGGCCATGCAGTCCTGCAGTCTGCATAAAAACCTCAGTCGCTTTTCCACTTTCCCGAGCGGTTTCCACTTTTCCCTTCTTCTTGTTGACTTGGAAATCCTGCAAAGGGATTCAAAACAACAGAAATCCCACAAGAGGGAGAAGGAAATTTTTGTTGTTGACTCTGCTGCTGTTTTCATGTAGCCTTCTGTCTGTGTGCCCAAATCTTAAAGAGCAGTGGAGCCTTTTGTGTTGTTATTGCAGAAGCACCTGTAAGCATCGACTGCGATCAGTGCAGAAATATGTTTGCTCAGCTCAACAGCTGCAGCAGTTGAAGACATTATTGCATTGCAGCCAAGTGCTAGCGCTTTCACAGTAGAACTGAGTGTTCTCACAGCAAAATCTATTGTATTTTGTTCAAGTTCCCATGGCTGCCGAAAGGGCGCAGTTGAGCAATACAGCAGAGCTGATCTGACAGCCTGCTGACACAAAGCAGCACCCTTTCCCCACACCCTCACCCCCAACTGCACTGGTGCCCATCTGAACACCCAGTAAATCAGACCTTTAAGACACCAAGGAGCTGTTCCCATTTCTGGGGTTTTAATTACCTAAGAAATAAACTGCTTTGGATGATGGACAACAGAGGCAGCGTGTGAGAAGTTGGGGCAAAGGTGTTGCCAGCGGTGGGGAGGAGCGGGACTACTCTCTCTTGGCAGAAGATACTTTTTGGCAACAAGTTTGAACCAGTCCAACCATACTGCCTAACCACACCCGAGACCAGGATTCGCTTTGAATTCACTGAGGAGTGTCTAAATGCTAAGCTCTGCTATCTTCCTTAAGAAGCAATAACATCTAGTGATGAGATGATAACAGAGCAACCGTTGTTAATGGCACAGTGCTTTTGGTAATGGCTCCTGTTAATGAAGGGGATGCTCCTGGGCTGTGCTCCATCTCTATATGCCCCTGCTTTCACTGGAATGAATCCAGCAATTGCGTACCCACGGGGCAGTTTGGCTCAGCAAGCCTCCTAGAGGAAAATAACTATATGTAAAGAGGAAAAAAAAACAAGCCATGCAGAGTAAGGAGATCAAGCATACTTACTATGCTTATTCTTATTGTACTTATTGTCTCCACCCAAGAAAATTTACATTTAAACCCTGAGAAACCTGCTTTGTTTGAAGCTGGTTGGATGGAGCTCTACTTTGACTCTGTTGTCCCCACAATTCGAACTTTTTCTATTTGTTCATGCTATCTGGCAGCTCCTTTCCTGCAGGAGGCTGTAGTAGCTTCTAAATAATTCCTAAGCCTATAGGAATATGGTCCTGCCCAGCACCATCACATTTCTGTAACACATTTCCCCTTCCCCAGCTACTTATATAACCTATCCAATCCATAAGCTTTGGTACAACCATTTTATCCATCAGCAAGTTATGCCATACATCAATAACTGGTAACTATATTTTGCTGTGGGCAGCCTCAAGTAATTCATAATGCAGTAGCAACCCTTCCGGCCTTGCTACCGGTGGTAGTAAAAAACAAAACAAAACCATTCTGACCAAGGGAAAACTGTATTAATGGCAGCTTTTCCTCATGTTACAATGGGACAAGCTAAAAAAGAGCCAGCCCCACCTGTAAAGTCACTATTAGCTACAAAATGAGATCCCCACCATTTCACTGGAGCCCCTGCTCACATTTGTGCATAGTCATATTTGCTCATGTTTGTGCATAGAGCACAAGACCATAAGGTCCAGCACTGACAGAGCTGTTACGGGACTCATGCTTTCAGTGGTAGCATCACTGTTTCCACCTATTTAACATCAACAAACAGCATAACTGCTTTTCCATTATTAAAGGAAATGTGGTTTTTTTTCCTCTTTATTTTGTTTTTTTTTTTTTCCTAACATTTGTCAAAACAAAGCTCACTCTGCACAGTTCAGCACAATTGAGAAACTGATCTGAAGGACAGCTAGGTTAGTTATGGTATTTTTCCAGTATGCTCCAAGAAGGGCATTTGCCTACCTGATGCTGCTATTAAACACAGGGTTTATGGTCTCAGCCACTGCTCCAAGATCTATGCTGGCTCTACAGCATCATGCAGAAGGGAGATTACAGTTGAATTCTTCTCTGTAGTTCAGCTCAGGCTTATTTGCTGTTATTCAAGAGAGCTGTATTGGACTGAGTAGTTTGTGGGGAATTGCTTTGGTGGCTGCACAGTAAGTCCTGGTCAAGAGCAGAGACTTCCTGAAGCCAGTTGAGCCCAAACCTAATAAACCATCCTGAAATGGATGAGGGCTAGCTCAGCACAACTCACTGTTACTCTCAGCTAATCAACTCAGTCTTAAACCAATCAGAAAACTTACTTATTCATTCAGCTTATGAGTTTCCTATTGCAGTATCAAGATCCCGTTGCTTAAATCTACCCATAAACAACCTCTACAAGGAAACCTCTCATAAGAATCCATACAATCAACGAGTGATCTGTTGTTCCATCAAATGGAATTTTTTTTTAATCTGCATATCTCAGCTGACACACTGTTAGGAGAGAAAAATTTTGTGATAATACCAGCTTTTTAATGAAAAGTATGACTCAGCTATTGTAAGCAAACACCTGTAATTTTAGATGCAGTATAAACAGGGCGATTTTTACCTTATGATGTGGCAGTGCTCACACGTTTACAGAGGATAAAAGCTTTATCGCCTTGCTGAATCACTGAAAGCTAGGCTGAAGCTATTAACTGAAGACCAGCCAAGTGTTTTAAATAGCAATATCTATTACAGAATGTATGCAAGAAAATAAGTCATGTTTTTTCTCTTTTCAACCCCAACTCCAAAAGGATCCAATAAGATAAACTGAGTTTGTAAATAGATAATTTTGGTGAAATAATGTTGAAAGCAATTTGTCCCTCTTTGTGACACTTCAGAAGTCTAGAATTCTTACTTTGCTTCCTGCTACTAATTGTCAGCTCTGGATGGCTTAAGTATAGAGGGAAGCCAGAAAAGCCATCTGTTTGGAAGAATGAAAAAGCCTAGTTGTTTTACTCATTTCCTGGGCAAAATGAAGAGCTGAAAGGTTTTCAGTGAGAAAACTGCTTAGACTGCACTAAGCCAGATGTACACAGGGAATTCAAAAGGAATAAATGGAACAGGATTTTCTTAGTTTGGTGTAAAATGGTTGTATGGCAAGTAAGAAGCATCTGCTTGTTTCTTCAATCAGATAATCTGAACAATTTTTGTACATTTTCCAAATCTCAGGTTTGCTTTTCAAAATTAGCTTATGTGTGAATATTGATTAGAAACAATTGTCTGTAATGCGAAATGGAAAGAAGCTCCTTGCATTTAGTCCTTCTGAGAAATCACAGGATAGCTTATGTTACTAAAAGCCAGTTGCTTTATGAGCTTTGAATCTGAAAAGCAGGATTCTTACATAACGCATTAGCACTGTACATTAAATTACACCAGATTTCATAAGAAAACGTCAGCCATATTTAACTTCTGCTCCACAAATCAAAATTGTTACATCCAC